TACTATACTGTCAAAGTGGACAAGGTTAAGAAGGCTGCGTTCGTTAGCCCGCTCAATGGTGTCATTAGAATCTCTATGCTGTACATACAACCCGAAACTAGCCACATGTGGAGTCTAATCGAAGTGTGGAATGACACTATGAGCAGAACGCTAAGCCCAGCGCATTGCTGTTTCATGATCCACAATCGGAACACATTTGGTGGATATGGTGTTAAACAATACCATTATTTCATGTATCAGAGACATGGGCAAGCTGACAACTCATGCTCAAACGTCCAGCTCGCCGCCTCCACCCGTGCCACCACCGCGACAACCACTGGAAAACCAATGATGGTGATGCCAGATCTCAAGGAGTTGGAGGATGTCAAAACACCTGTGAAACTGCTCAACGTGAGCAAAAGTGTGTTGTGCTTTGGTTGGTTTGTTTATAATGACAGTACTAGTCTTTACATTCAGCTCACTCTGTCTCTCTCCCTGCAGGTACAGTGAGGGAAATAAGTATTTGATCCCCTGCTGATTTTGTACGTTTGCCCACTGAAAAAGACATGATCAGTCTATAATTTTAAAGGTAGGTTTATTTGAACAGTGAGAGACAGAATAACAACAAAAAATCCAGAAAAACGCATGTCAAAAATGTTATAAATTGATTTGCATTTTAATGAGGGAAATAAGTATTTGACCCCTCTGCAAAACATGACTTAGTACTTGGTGGCAAAACCCTTGTTGGCAATCACAGAGGTCAGACGTTTCTTGTAGTTGGCCACCAGGTTTGCACACATCTCAGGAGGGATTTTGTCCCACTCCTCTTTGCAGATCTTCTCCAAGTCATTAAGGTTTTGAGGCTGACGTTTGGCAACTCGAACCTTCAGCTCCCTCCACAGATTTTCTATGGGATTAAGGTCTGGAGACTGGCTAGGCCACTCCAGGACCTTAATGTGCTTCTTCTTTAGCCACTCCTTTGTTGTCTTGGCTGTGTGTTTTGGGTCATTGTCATGATGGAATACCCATCCACGACCCATTTTCAATGCCCTGGCTGAGGGAAGGAGGTTCTCACCCAAGATTTGACGGTACATGGCCCGGTCCATCGTCCCTTTGATGCGGTGAAGTTGTCCTGTCCCCTTAGCAGAAACCCCCCCCCCAAAGCATAATGTTTCCACCTCCATGTTTGACGGTGGGGATGGTGTTCTTGCGGTCATAGGCAGCATTCCTCCTCCTCCAAACACGGCGAGTTGAGTTGATGCCAAAGAGCTCCATTTTGGTCTCATCTGACCACAGCACTTTCACCCAGTTCTCCTCTGAATCATTCAGATGTTCATTGGCAAACTTCAGACGGGCATGTATATGTGCTTTCTTGAGCAGCGGGACCTTGCGGGCGCTGCAGGATTTCAGTCCTTCACGGCGTAGTGTGTTACCAATTGTTTTCTTGGTGACTATGGTCCCAGCTGCCTTGAGATCATTGACAAGATCCTCCCATGTAGTTCTGGGCTGATTCCTCACCGTTCTCATGATCATTGCAACTCCACAAGGTGAGATCTTGCATGGAGCCCCAGGCCGAGGGAGATTGACAGTTATTTTGTGTTTCTTCTATTTGCGAATAATCGCACCAACTGTTGTCACCTTCTCACCAAGCTGCTTGGCGATGGTCTTGTAGCCCATTCCAGCCTTGTGTAGGTCTACAATCTTGTCCCTGATATCCTTGGAGAGCTCTTTGGTCTTGGCCATGGTGGAGAGTTTGGAATCGGTTTGATTGATTGCTTCTGTGGACAGGTGTCTTTTATACCGGTAACAAGCTGAGATTAGGAGCACTCCCTTTAAGAGTGTATAAATACCTGTATAAAAGACACCTATGAGCCATAAATCTTTCTGATTGAGAGGGGGTCAAATACTTATTTCCCTCATTAAAATGCAAATCAATTTATAACATTTTTTACATGTTTTTTTCTGGATTTTTTTGTTGTTATTCTGTCTCTCACTGTTAAAATAAACCTACCATTAAAATTATAGACTGATCATTTCTTTGTCAGTGGGCAAATGTACAAAATCAGCAGGGGATCAAATACTTTTTTCCCTCACTCTATACGGGACTTGAAGAGGATGTCTACTCTCCAAACTGCGGGGTCTGCGTGTCTACTCTCCAAACATACAGTATCCTGACACCCCTTTTCATTACAATGGCAACGCTGATGGTCGCAATATAGTCATGAACCAAGTAAATGTGAGGCTATAGCGCAGGGGTGTCAAACGTCCGGCCCGCGGGCCGGATCAGGCCCGCAAACGGGTTTAATCCGGCCCGCGAGATGATAAAAAACAAGAAAAAGAAAAAAATATATATATATTGTAAAGTATAAAAATGCGCTGCAATTTTTCAATAAAATAAACTGCTGTTCCAATTGCGTCCACTGGATGGCGCAATAGCAATTGTGTTAAGCAAGCAAACTGTTTATACCGGGGCAGAGCAAGTAGGTCAAGCACGTGCAGCCAATGAGCTACTTTGTTTTGCCCGCGATATTTATTACGGCTTCTACTTTTAACATTATGTGCTTTGGCACCCTCATTGCCCCAATATGTCTCTGTCAAAAAAGAGAAAAGTGGACGCAGAGTGCAGAGTGTTCCAAGAAAAATGGTCATCCTATTTATTCACGGAATTGAATGGGAAAGCTGTATGTTTGGTGTGTTCAGAGAATGTTGCAGTGCTGAAAGAATATAACCTTCGTCGCCACTATGTGAGTCTTCATGCCGACAAATATGACAACTTTCAAGGACAGCGGAGATGAGAGAAGGTGAATGAACTGTTGGCGGGTCTGAAGAAACAGCAGTCTGTGTTTACTCACAGCCGAGACATCAGTGACGCTGCAGTGAAAGCTAGCTACCTCATTGCTAATGAAATCGCAGTGGCTTCAAAACCATTTAGTGAGGGTGAATTTGTAAAAACATGCATGATGAAGGCAGCGGAGATTGTGTGCCCTGAAAAGCGGCAGGCTTTTGCAAATATCAGCCTGACAAGAAACACAGTTGCAGACAGGATTTCCGATCTTTCAGTGGATTTGGAGAGCCAGTTGAAGCAAAAAGTAAAGTCATTTATTGCGTTTTCGGTTGCAATTGATGAAAGCACGGACATTACAGATGTTGCACAACTGGCCATTTTCATCCGCGGAGTTGATGACACATTGACCGTCACCGGGGAGTTCGTGGAGTTGGTGCCGATGACAGATACAACGACAGCAGCTGATATTTTTACCGCACTCGTCAGCGTGCTGGACAGGGTCGGAGTGGACTGGTCCCGCGCTGTCAGCCTGGCTACAGATGGTGCGCCCTCAATGATCGGGAAAAAAGCAGGCGTTGTGACAAAGTTCAGAGAGAAAGTGCAATCTGCAAATGGAGGACGTGATTTTTTGACTTTTCACTGTATTTTGCACCAGGAGGCTTTGTGTTGCAAGTCATTAAAGATGGATAACGTCATGAAGGTGGTCATCCAAACTGTTAATTTCATCCGATCCAGAAGCCTGAATCACCGTCAGTTTGACAGCCTTCTCAGAGAGAAAGACCACATCTATGGCCTGCCATACCACACTGAGGTAAGATGGTTAAGCCGAGGTGCTGTGCTGAGGCGTTTCTTTGATTTACGAGAAGAAATTGAACAGTTCATGGAAGAAAAGGGCAAACCAGTGTTAGAATTTCATTCCGCAGAATGGATGCAGGACCTTGCATTTATGGTGGATGTTACAGAGCACCTGAATAACTTGAACAAACAGCTGCAAGGGCGCAACAAAGTTGTCACGCAGTATTATGACAGCATACGTTCTTTCAAGTTGAAGCTGTCATTGTGGGAGACGCAACTTGCCGGTGGTGATGCAGCTCACTTCCCCTGTCTGAAAAATGTGTGCGCGACCCAACATGTGGCAGACATGAAGCGGTTCAAAGATAAAATAACGGGACTGTTACGGGAGTTTGAGCAACGCTTTCAGATTTATGTTTATATGTTTTTATGTTGATGTGCTATTGTTTTTAATTGATTTTATTTTATTTGTATATTTAACCTATTCTTGACTCTGTGGTTCTTGCACTTGTTTGGGGAACAGGATTTAATTATTTTTATCTACATTTCTGCCTGAGAAATGACACCCTGATATAGTTCTGTGATCTGTGATATACTTCTGTGAATCACTGAGGCATTGTGTGTTTGTGTGTTCTTTGTCCTCAGAACTTTCAAATAACTTGAGGTGTTTTATGATTAATAGTGATGTTGTGCTTTTGGACACTGTCCTCAGGCTCCAGCTTTATGTTTATATGTTTTTATGTTGATGTGCTATTGTTTTTAATTTATTTTATTTTATTTGTATATTTAACCTATTCTTGACTCTGTGGATCTTGCACTTGTTTGGGGAACAGGATTTCATTATTTTTATCTACATTTCTGCCTGAGAAATGACACCCTGATATAGTTCTGTGATCTGTGAAACAGTTCTGTTAATCACTGAGGCATTGTGTGTTTGTGTGTTCTTTTTCTTTAGAATTTTCAAATAAACTTGACGTGTTTTATGATTAATAGTGATGTTGTGCTTGTACTATTTTGGACACACTGTCTTCAGGCTCCAGCTTTATGTTGTATGTTGATCGTATTAAAACAAAGAAAACTATCTGAAGTTGTTGTTTTTAAGTTATATATACCATGATTTTTCCGGTCCGGCCCACTTGGGAATCGATTTTCCTCCATGTGGCCCCTGAGCTAAAATGAGTTTGACACCCCTGCTATAGCGTGTCCTGCAAGCAATACTGTAAACTCTAATCCTGTATATAACACTGAAATAAAACCCTTATGTGATCACGTTTCCTTTCCTATTACAAGTTTTATTGAGAATGTACAAGTGTCTTGAGGTTATAGTACAAGTTTCATTGAGAATTTACAATGATACATCATGAATGTACAAGTGTATTGAATAAAATGTACACGGAACCATCTCCACACGGTCCTCTTGTTGTTCTTGTCTTTCTTTCTAGAATCAGTCTCTCAATTTCTGTCGCTGAATCTGGTCTCTGACCATAACTTTGTCTTCCCCGGTCATATTAGCAACCTGCATCCATTCTGTGTCCTGCAGCAGCTTGTGAGCCAGAAGTCTCTCGGTCTCACGGAAAGCCAGGAATCGGAAGATGATCCTTTTCACTAGTTCACACTCCATCACGTTGGGCATTATGGTGTCATGGTCCCAGGGTGTGATTGATACACGGGGGTGGTTTTTGGGACATCGAGTCCTTACAATGATCTGGTACGTGGACACCGTCTCACAGCGATTTTTACGCGCTAAGAATACCACCTTACCTTCCATAGCTTCCGCTATCATCACCCCTAGGCTCCACATGTCTATGGCACAGGTGTACTCTGCACAGTCACCTTTAACAAACAATTCCGGGGCCCTGTAGGGCTCCGTGACCACAGTTGGACTCATCCATTTCGAGGATTGTCTAGAGAGGCCCATGTCCGCCACTTTGACAGTGAGATCTTCTGTCAGCAGCACGTTGGAAGGAGTCAGGTCCCGGTGCACTATATTCAGTCTGTGCATGTAAGACAAAGCAGTAGCCACCTGGACCGAAAAGTGAGCCACAAAACTCAACGGGATCAACTGTAGCGCCCGGCCTTGATCGTAGTAGAATTTCAGACTGTGTCCATTCACTTTATCACTTTACTCACCGTGTAGGGCACATAGGGCATGAGCATGGCTATCTTCCCATTGTCTAAGAAGCAATCGTGCATATGGATCACATAGGGGTGACCCCTTAGTGCAGCGAGACAGGAGAGTTCTCTCACGGTTGAATCATCTACGCCGCGAGTGTGATATTTCAAGGCAAACGCTTTTCCAGTTCTCAGACACTTGACTTTGTACACGGTTCCGTAGGCTCCTCTGCCAATAACGTAGTCTTTCAGGTAACTCTCCATTCTGATAGGTATAAAGTTTCAGTTGTAGTTGCGGACAAGCTGAATATGTGGAGTGTTGAGGGGTTAGGTTCCCTATCGAAGGGTTCTGTCCAACCACGGCTTTTTCATCCAACCATGGCCAAGGCATCCAACCACGGCGTTGACATTTCACGGGGATGTTGACCTTAGCTCGGTCAGTGACAGAATGACAAGATTTTTTAGGTCCGGGTGTCTAGAGTGGGCGGAGCTACCCAATTTACCCAACCATGGCTATTTCGTCCAACCATGGCTAAATCATCCAACCATGGCTAAATCATCCAACCATGGCTCATGAAACTGAGGGTGTATGAAACCTAAGACAAACCACCCGATGTTGAGGACTTGTTGTGGTTGAGAAACTGGTTCTATCTCTCCTCGAACCTAAAGGGTGATATTATCCTCCCTTACACAGATGACACAGCGCTCACCCCGGCCATACCTACACTTCTAGATCGATGGAACCTTCTCTACACAGCATGGTCTCCAATCCATAAAGATGCTGTTACAAAACGCACCCTTTGATAATGAACGAGGCTCCAAGGGTCTGATAGACCTTAAGAAGAGCGTTAACAAATACCTGGATTGCGCTGTAAGACATAACATTTTATTCTCATTATCATACATACACAAGGGCAATGTAGCGAGCATCTGTATCACATTGAATTATGATTGTGGTAATTTTCTTCCCCACCTTTTCAGATACCTGCAGACCTTACAGACCTTCACGTACATTCAGCATGGGCGGATATATCGACGTAAGAAATCGCACCGAGTCCCAGTTCGGGAGCATAGCATGCCCGGGTCTGTACGTTACAACCAAAGATGAAATTTGTTGCAGCCGTGAAGAAATGAAGGCTATGGAGGAGTTGGAAAGGGCCATACTGGACTATTTTGCTCCCCTCTCCGTATGTCCCGAGTTGGACATGATGCGCATAGAAGAGATCAAGCCTGATGTGATACCCAGTATATGCATTACAAGTGATTGTTTAAAAAAAATTAAGTGTTTCAAACGACAATGTCCTATGGTCTTGCTCATTACGCTCACACAAATACACATGTGGCACAGATAGATGCAAGCAACTGTGTACTGTGAGCTTGGCGAGGACCCTGATGAAGTTCATAACTTTGACTCTTCCGCTGTATCAGATGGAATCTGCTTATGACACGGCGTTATTCTGTAGCATTTTATTATTATTTCTACCGAGATAAGATACAGACACAATGGTACATTTCAACAAGTTTTATTCAGATCGATATACAATATAGCAGTGATACATAATAAAACCCAGCTTGCTCTCTGTTCAGCTTCCGCTCAGCATTACACTAATTTCTCGCTCCCATACATCGGCTCTTCCTTAAAGAGCGGCAGTAAAATAAAATAACAGTAGGGAGGCTATATACAGGGGGTACCGGTACAGAGTCAATGTGCGGGGACACCGCTTAGTCCCAGTCCGCGTCACCGCAGGAGGCCTTTTGCCTTTTGGTAGGCCTTTTGGTAGGCCGTCATTGTAAATAAGAATTTGTTCTTAACTGACTTGCCTAGTTAAATTAAGGTTAAATAAATAAATAACACAACAAATAAAAAATAAAAGGGTCAACGGTCCATGGGGTGGAGGTGGTTGGGCCTAGTGTCCCCACTCTTCATGTCGGCTTTACTTTTGGCTGAGTGCTGGATTCTTTCACAGAGACTTCTGGTTGCCAAGACAGAGAGAGCCCCTGGATAGCTAGGAAATGTATGTTACATGGAGTCAGAAGGGGGCTTTCTCTCCCTCTTTCTCTCTCTCCTTCCTTTTCTCTCCCTCTTTCTCTCTCTCCTTCCTTTTCTCTCCCTCTTTCTCTCTCTCCTTCCTTTTCTCTCCCTCTTTCTCTCTCTCCTTCCTTTTCTATCCCTCTGTGTTCTTTTTTTTGTTCTTCGGTTCTTTTCTTCTCTCTCAACAATGATTTGTGTCACTCCTGTTTATTATTCTGTGGGACTCAGATCAAATCAGATATGAACGTTTGTGTGTGTGTGTGTGTGTGTACCCCTTTCTGGGCGTCTCTTTGTGTGTGTGTGTGTGTGTGTGTGTGTGTTTGGCTCATGTTGTGACCCAGAGACAAACAAACTACCTCGGAGGGGTGTGTGTATGTCTGTGTGTGTGTGTGTGTGTGAAGTTAAACTAAAGGATATACAGCAGATGCTTCTCTGGCCCAGTCTCACTTCCTTTCAGCGTGTTGTCATGTCTGTCTACTTCTTCTTTCCCTTCCTCTTTTCTCTACAAAGTGATGAAGGCTGTTGTTGTGGAGGGAGAGATGGACGGTCGGCTGACTAGGAGGAGTCAGGGATGTTAGCCAGGCCGTTCACACTGTTTGGACACAGTACATGGCAGCCTGTTTTGTCTGTCCGTCTGTCTGTCTGTCTGTCTGTCTGTCTGTCTGTCTGTCTGTCTGTCTGTCTGTCTGTCTGTCTGTCTGTCTGTCTGACTGTCTGTTTCTATTCGATTAGAATTTGGTTACTAGACCACATTTAGCCCCAACACGCACAGGCAGAGTGGAATAAGTGAATCAGTTTCAATACAAACACATGGTTGTGGGATCTGTATCTGTGGTCACATCTCTCAGTATCTATCAGGGATGGGGAACTTTTCTTAGTTTTTATTTAACGAACCAAAACAGTGAAAGCATTGTGGAAGTGAAGCATCAAATCTACAATATTTGTCTGTCTGTCTGTCCGTCTGTCTGTCTGTCTGTCTGCCAGTCTGTCTCCTCTGTCTGTCTGCCTGTCTCCACTGTCTGTCTGTCTGTCTGTCTGTCTGTCTGTCTGTCTGCCTGCCTGCCTGTCTGTCTGTCTGTCTGTCTGTCTGTCTGTCTCCACTGTTTGTCTGTCTGCCTGTCAGTCTCCTCTGTCTGTCTGCCTGCCTGTCTGTCTGTCTGTCTGTCTGTCTGCCTGCCTGTCCCCACTGTCTGTCTGCCTGCCTGCCTGTCTGCCTGCCTGCCTGTCTGTCTGTCTGTCTGACTGTCTGTTTCTATTCGATTAGAATTTGGTTACTAAGCCACATTTAGCCCCAACACGCACAGGCAGAGTGGAATAAGTGAATCAGTTTCAATACAAACACATGGTTGTGGGATCTGTATCTGTGGTCACATCTCTCAGTATCTATCAGGGATGGGGAACTTTTCTTAGTTTTTATTTAACGAACCAAAACAGTGAAAGCATTGTGGAAGTGAAGCATCAAATCTACAATATTTGTCTGTCTGTCTGTCTGTCTGTCTGTCTGTCCGTCTGTCCGCCTGTCTGTCTGTCTGTCTGTCTGTCTGTCTGTCTGTCTGTCTGTCTGTCTGTCTGTCTGTCTGTCTGCCAGTCTGTCTCCTCTGTCTGTCTGCCTGTCTCCACTGTCTGTCTGTCTGCCTGTCTGTCTGCCTGCCTGCCTGTCTGTCTGTCTGTCTGTCTGTCTGTCTGTCTGTCTGTCTGTCTGTCTGTCTGTCTGTCTGTCTGTCTGTCTGTCTGTCTGTCTGTCTGTCTGTCTGTCTGTCTGTCTGTCTGTCTGTCTCCACTGTTTGTCTGTCTGCCTGTCAGTCTCCTCTGTCTGTCTGCCTGCCTGTCTGTCTGTCTGTCTGCCTGCCTGTCCCCACTGTCTGCCTGCCTGCTTGTCTGCCTGCCTGCCTGCCTGCCTGTCTGTAATCGACCCAAGTATACATATGCCAGATGTTGCCTGGCTACCTAATCCTACAGTCAGATTCAGTCTCCTTTTCTTCATCCCTCTCTGCTTCTATCTTTCCAAGGGTTTACAGTAGAAGAGTTTGACCAGTGTAGACCTATCAGATTGATCATTCGACATCACCCCAACACCTTTCTCTTTCTATCCCTCTTTTCTCATTTCATCAAAGACAAAGGCCTCTCCAATGTTTTGTGTTTAAATGTCAGCTGGTGTCTGGCCTCCACCTCACCCCATATTCGCGGCTCCTACTGTAGGGGATATGAGAGAGTGCTCCATGCCAACTAGATCTCACTGTCCATACAGTACAACATGTATGAAAGGGATAGATGTCTCCTCAGACAGATAAAAGTAGATGAAGGATAACATTGATTTACCTGTAGTGTAAACAGGTACTGCCACACTCAGCTACAGGATATGATGACGGATGGCACTGTTAGCAAATATACCAGACATCACCAAATCATTTGCCATCCAACATGAGGTTGGAGAGCCCCTCAAACAGCCAGAAAATCATAAGATGAAAGAACACCCTGGAATGTCCTGAACCACTGCGTTGACTTTTGCACTGGTCAACTTAACTACAGGGATTAGGTTCTAATATAGATCAAGCTCTGCATCTCCTGGAAGGAAGGACTGACTTCATGTGTTATGTTATATCCATTCGATAATAATTCCTCCAATATAAGACACCTCTGGCAGCCTTCAAACCCTTTAATTGTCCTCCTCACTAGTCGCTATCAACATCTGGACAACATATGAACGCATCGGTTTATGGTGGTAAAGAATGGAGATGTGGGGGAAGGGAGTCCATAGTATTGTCAGTGTACTGTACTGTAGATTTAGTTTGGTAGTGTTTTCATAATATAACTACAAAGTGTTCAATATCTTTAAACCTGCTCAAAAGCATCAGATGGCTTTTATTAGTGTGAAATAAACTTGGGCCGTGCAGCTTTGAGTGTGGGGTGATATAATGCTCCGTCTCCAATTTCAGATTATTTTGGAGGGAGACAGTGAAGACAGAAACTGTCCCTCCACTTCCTGTCTCTCTTCTCACTTCCTGTCTCTCTTCTCACTTCCTGTATGGCCTATTTCCAGTTCCACCACATCATTGTAGAACCTCTGTCTCCATAGTGATGACAGCGTGTGAGTGTGTGTCTTTGAAAGAGCTGTACAGGCCATGAAAGGGTTATCTGTGATGTCTGTGGTCTTCCTCTCTCCATCCCACTGTGTCCCAGACAGGCAGGCAGGAAGCTGCTGGTATCTCCTCTCCTCCACCTGGAGCCACAG